TATATATATATATATATATATATATATATATATATGATCATAAGTGTCTTGGTTTATGTCACTAGAGAACCCTACCTAACACAGACGCCTTTCTTCTTTCTTTTCTAAACCTCATGCTTCATGAGTCTGGAGCCACGGCAACAAACCCCATTCCTGACACAAGTCAAGCAGTTTGAAAGCAGAGCACTCACCCTGGCTTCCCCAACCCTCTCTTCGTGGTTTTCAATAACCACATGTTCCTTCCACATTTCCCTGCCTTTGAAAGAAAGTCCAACTTTTCAGCCAGCTGGACAGTGTCTTTCACAATCTACTCCTGCTTCTTTATTTTGGCTCATCTCTTACAGCATGCCGGCCCCATACTCTATGTTCTAGCTCTACCGAATTAGTTTGCAATGCCAAGGTCATGCTGTGATTTCGAGCTTACAGAAGCTTATTTGTGTGTCTGCAAATTTCCTTCTATCCAAAGAGTCTCTGCCCTTTCTCTGCTTGATGGGAGAAATCCTGCTCTTCTTTAAGACAAGAATCAGTAAACACGGCTCCCTCTAAGAAACTCTCCCTTACTATTTCAGTGACTACCCAAGGTCTTCTCAAACTCTTTCCCCCTTTCTTCCACAATATACATAATACCACAGCTCCCAGCTTCCTTTGCTACTACCTGGATCATGTGATACCAAGCTGGCCAATGGCGAGTGAGTGAAAGTGATGAGTGCTACTTGCCACATGACCCTTAGAGGAAAGAAAGGTTCCCATTCCCTTTCCTACGGGCTGGAATTCATTTCCAATTTGGGATGACTCATTTCCAATATGCGGAAAAAAGCAGCTCGCTAAGACGGCAGAGCAAGAGGATGAAGGAGCCGGGGTCTCCACTGTCCCTGAGCAGCCTCTGTATGCCTGAGAATAGTGAGTTGAAAGAAAAAAATTAAGAAGGTTCTGGGAATAATTCTGCAAGTCCTCTGTGGGGGGAGGTCAGATGCTAGGCCCAGCTTCCTGCTGTTCAAGGACAATGGACAGGCCCACAGTCATTGATTGGGTTCCTGTAGGTGGAGTTCACACCCTACTGATAATGGTCTCTATCAGTTGAGCCAGGGAACAGGTCAAACATGCTCTGTGACATCCAAAATTAAGCTGTCATCCTAATTCTAGGACAGATTCCACCCATCTTGCCACATGTATACCCCCAATCCCTCCTCTTCCTATTGCGTGGATACCCCTAGATCACCCCCTCCCATTACTGCATTACCTATAGCTCAACCCCTTCCTGTGATGTATGTCTTCCCCTGTAATTAGAGGGCTTGCATGTCCCCAGAGAAAATAAAAGCCTTGGTTAGCATTAAAGATTCTCTCTCTCCCCAACGTGGACCACCAAGCAGGGCTGAGGTGAGCACTGCTACCATGAAATGTGTCTGACTCCATTCTTTCAATATCTCTCTATTCTATCTCTCATGCTCTCTATGACTTTACTATAATCTTTACTTATTATCGCTATACAATTGCACCTACCGGACCTGTAACAATGTGCTAGGGGCTGGCTTCCCCTTGCAGTACTCCTAGGTCCCTCCATAGCCATTAGATCAAACAAACCCTCCTATTACAAGAGAGCAGCAACAGAGCACCTGAAAGATGGAGGATTAGGGTAGAAAACGTCACTGACTCAGGCCATTAATTCAAACTGGGGGAAACAGGGCCAAAGTCATGCTGAGCCTTTCGGACTATCTTCCAGAATCTTCTATTTCTGGACATTCCCCTCACTCCCTTTCCTTCCTTGACAAGGATCAGAAAAGCCAGGGTCTTACCTCTGGAGACTTGGTAGACTTCATAGAAAGAATAGAAGTGGAAGCCGAGTGAGGCAAGCAGGTAAAAGGAGAGCTCCCATTGGGCTAGCATCCTTCCTTCTCACACAGGCTCCAGGCAGCCAGGTTCCGAGGGTCTAGGACAAGAAACGAATCAAAACAGTAAGCCAAGGACATGACACAGTAGGATCTTAGAGAACCACATTCTCATCAAGCAGTTACTTCAAACGCTCAGTGGATACAGATATAACCCCATCCAGATGAATATGTCCAACTGTCCTGTCGATACACACAGACCACAGAGCCAGCCTTCTTCAGGCTGGCCAGGTCTTTTCCTATGAGCTCACAGAGCCTCCCATCACAGGGTGCATCAAACAGCACTGGATTCATTACATGACACACCTGGATTTCCCCCACAGAATAAACCTTTAGAGCAGTGGTTCTCAACCTGTGGGTCGAGAGCCCTTTGGGGGTCAAACAACACTTTCACAGGGGTCACCTAAGACCATCGGAAAACACATAAATATTTCACAATATATAATTGCATATTGTTTTGTGATTAATCACTATGCTTTAATTATGTTTAATTATGTTCAATTTGTAACAATGAAAATACATGCTGAATATCAGATATTTACATTACAATTCATAGCAGTAGCAAAATTACAGTTATAATTTTATGGTTGGGGGTCACCACAACATGAGGAACTGTATTAAAGGGCTGAGGCATTACGAAGGTTGAGAACCACTGCCTTAGAGATTAGGGACCATAATCTCTGACTCATTAACACAGCACTGGTAAAGCAGCAAGAACAGCTACAAAGAGTTTGTCACAAATTAAATGGTGTGTCCCTGTACCCCCACCCCGACCCCCTACAAATGTGCTTAAATCCTAACCCCTGGATGTAAATATATAAAGGTTGCCTTTTATGTTACTACGGTTTTACCAGAGCAGGATAGGTCCTATACTTAGCTGTTGCCTTCTCATAGCAAACCTACAGGACAGGTTAGAACAGCCCCAAACAGTTTTCAAGGTTGCAATCATTACAATAGCAGGCTGCCACTTGGGTCTGCCAAGGAGCAGCTAATGGGTTGGAACCATCAACCTTCTGGTTAGCAGCCAAGCACTTAACCACTGGAGCACCAGGGCTCTGAGTTCTACACCTAATGAGCAAACTAGACACACCTGCAGGGAAGGGCCAGATTCTGCCAAAGGGTTGCCTACACACAACAGAACTCCCAGGGCTATCAACAAGGTCAGACTTTCCACTGAAGCCACACCCAGAATTGGTCCTCTAGCCTCTTGACCCATGATCCAATAAATGTCCTCTCTTCAAAGATGCCCACTTAGACTATCATGTTTCGCAGCAGCAGGAGAAAACTCTGCAAGTGCTCTTCAAATAATAAATGGCTTCAAATTTGAAATAAAAGGGATCCACGGACGATTTCCAAACCTCTTCTAAGCCAGCCAACAGCCTGAGCTACCTCACTCTCCCCTTCGACCCTGTCCAGTGTGTCTAAGGAGCGCCTGGTCCAGACAGCACTCCCGTGCATGCTTCCCGTGCACTTCTGAAAGGGGACTAATAACAATCCAGGGCAGCCATGGCAGAACACGCTCAGTGCCCCCCCACCCCCACCCCTAGTCTTCAGTTCCCATTCCTACACAGTGGTTGAAGTCTTAGCTGGAAACATGGCTACTGAGCTGAATCCTATACTACAGCCAAGTGCAGAGAAGCAGAGCAAGTTTTAGGCAAAATGGAATGAGTCAAAGGGTATAATGTTGTGGTCAACCCTTTCTCCTTCCCATCCCTCCCTGCTAGAGAGCAGATGGAATACCCACCCAGAAGTGAAAGTCATGTGGAAACAAAATGGGCACGTATCTGACTCCGTGCACCCACACCCTCACCAATTAAACCATCCTGGACTGCTGCTCCCAGCAGGTGATTACTGAGAGAGAAAAGATGCTCCATGGTGTGAGGTAGGGATTTAGAGACAGCAAGGTGGACAATTCAAAGTGCTAGAAGCAAACAATACTGATTAGGAAAAACTACTTTCAAGTAACAGGCCTAGCCCAGCAGGCAGGAGAGAAATAAAAAAACAGAAAGCAGGAAGACAACAGATCACAAAGAAAAATAATATTGATGAAGGTGAGAAACCTGAGACCAAGTAAGACAACATGAAAGAAAAGTCATCTGAGCAGACAGACTTGGACTTCTACTTAACTCTTCTTACCGCAGCGCAAGAACGGTTTGTTCTAATAATGTGGCAATGTATGATACTCACCTTCCCGATAGATCACTGCAGACAAAATGGGTGCATAAGCAAATGCAGTGAAGAAAGCTGATGATGCCCAGCTCTTAGGAGATATAGCACCTGGGGTCTTAAAGGCTTGAAGTTAAACAAATGGCCATCTAGCAGTGAAGGAACAAAGCCCACATGAAATAAGTACACCAGCTTGTATGATCATGAGGTGTCGACGGGAATAGGGATCAGAAGTTCAAATACAAGCAATCAAATGGATGTGAAGGAGCATGGACTAAATGGAGACCCCAAACCCACCTGTAAGATAATTGGGCAGTCCCTCACTGAAGGGCCACACAGGAAGGATGGTATATGCAGGGTGCGGTAGAGCACTGATGAAACACATAACTATCCTCTAGTTCTTTAATATCTCCTCCCCTTACTATTATCACCATCATTCTTGTTAGACCTGCATATGTTCATTTGTATAACTAAAATAATTGGATGCATGAAAGCCAAGATAGATAACCCTTCAGAAACAGTAATGGGAGTAATGATTCCCTGAGGATATGGGAAGAAATGGGGTGGGGGGGTTGACAGCAATGTATAACTTCATAATGACTGTATAACTTCACCCGAGGTGAACAAATAACAGAATTGTAGGTGCACAGATGCATTGGCTGGAGAAAGATATGGCAAATAATAATAATAATATTTTTGTAAGTTATTTGATATTAGGCCTTGAAAGGAAACAATAGCAGGGCTGTCCCTGGAATTAAAGTCAGGACAGGAATCACAGGCTGCTGTTTTTGCCTCTCTAGCAGGCACACAAGTCCTGAGGCTGGATTTCAAAAGAATTATTTATCTGGGCATTAAGGAATTCAAGACATGTTATCAGGAGGGACCAGACCTGAGGAAGGACAACGTGCTTGGTAGAGGGGAAGCACAAGTCGGGGAAGCCCCTCAATGGGACGAATTGGCACAGTGGCTGCAACAATGGGCTCGGGCCTGGGAACTATTGCGAGGGCAGAGCAGGACTAGATGAGATTTCCTTCTAAGGATCGCTGAGAATCATAACTGCCTCAACAGCCGCTGGGAAGAGGATGGAACTCAAGAGTTCCATGAAAGAAAATCTCAGCTGTCACAGGACAAGAGTTCTTCCCCAAACAGAGCTTTTCTATTCCGCAGCAACTTCTATTTGCATTGACCTTGTGAATGAACACTCCACCTGCTTCCCAAGTTGCCATTGACTCGGATCCTTGCAGGAGACATGTAACTGTTTGCTTATGATTAGAAATTGGAATCCTGCTGAAGGAAGAGAAGCAACCTGCCCAATGCTATACAGAAGCCAGGATTGGACAAAGAATCAGAATCCAAGTTCACCACTCCCACCCTCCTCCTGTTAGGTGCCTTCGAGTCAGTGCCTTCTGTACAAGAGAAGGAAACCCTGACCAGTCCTACGCCAGCCCCAGCCTCCTGCAGGCAGAAATCCTGTCCCTCAACCTCTGTGGAAAAGTATGCTGTGCTGAATCCAGCCCACTGTGCTGACGCGCAAAACACACATAAATAAAACTGCTAGAAGATGCTCTTTTCCCAACAATTTCCAATCGCATTTCAAAGGATGTTATCTTTAGTTCAGATGCATATGGCAAATAGATTCCAGTACTTCTGTTATATATATATTTTCTGCTCCTTTACCTTGAAATCAACATTAAATGGGCTATATCCACAGGTCAAAGTGCATTAATCCAAACCCAAACCCACTGCCATCAAGTTCACTCATACTCAGAGCAACCCAGTAGCTCAGAAGAAAAGCTGTCCATCTGCTCCGAGGCTAGAATCTTAGGAAGCAGATGCTGAGGGGAGAGGACGGAGGGTCCAAACTTCCAGCCTTTCAGTGGTGGCTGAGCAATTTAACCACTGCACCACCAGGGCTCCCGCCAAGTGCACCAACCAAACCAAACTCATGGCCATCGAGTCTATACTGACCCATAGTGACCATCTAAGAGAGGGTAGGCCTGCTCCATGAGTTTCTGAGATTGTAACTGTTTACAGGAGTAGAAAGCCCATCTTTCTCCTATGGCTGGTGCCTTCTAATTACTGACTTCTTGAATCTGCAGCCCCACAAGTAACCACTACACTCCACCAGCACGCCCTGCCAAGGGCACCAGAGGTCTCTCAAAAGGAGGTTTTCATCAGTAATGAAGGTACTGAGAATCCTTCAGTACCGGCTGCACCAGCAGCACTTCTACCATCTACCTCACAGGGCACAACTGCTGCTGGGACTTTCCCAGACTTTATTTCTTTAGGGGAGTAGAAAGCCCACCTTTCTCCTAGGGAGCAGCGGGTGGTTTTGAACTGTGGACCATGAGGATTGCAGCCCAATGCATAACCATGACACTTGCAGAGTTCCTCAAACCCTAACCTGAGATCTTCCTCTACCAGGCTTTCTCAGTGCGCCATGATCCAAAAACTTGGCCCGTTGTCGCCAAGTCCATCTGATTCATGTAGACTCTGGCTGTGCAGAGTAGCACTGCACTCCATAGGGTCAAGGAGACAACATGTGTCTTTCAAACATATCGACAGGACCGTTAATTCTAAGTGCCACTGACATTAACTACTTGTACCACCCAGAAGCTCAGGACAGGGACAGCTGTACAGTAACCCCAAACTAAACTCACTGCCATAGGGTTGATGGTGACTCACAGTGACCCTAAAGGACAGGGTAGTGCTGCGCCTGTGAGATTTCCAAGGTTGTAGCTCGATGGATGAAAAGCCTTGTCTTTATCCTGCTGAGAAGCTGGTAGTTTTGAACTGCGGAGCTTGTGGTTTGCATCCCAAGGCATACTCCACTATGCCACCAAGATTCCAACAGCTGTGCTACAGCAGCTAATAT